CAAAAATAGATAACTGGCCGTAAAATAGATTACTAATACTTTAATGTGGAATTTAATATTTAATTTCAAATAAGTTTCTAAATTAATTCCTACATCCATTACAACTATTTGGAGATCTTTCCAAATTCAACTATTGTGTCATTAGTTACACCCTCCTATAACATATTAACTTATAAATAGGGGTAGTTTTGGAATCCGAAAAATACCATAAATCAGATTTTAAGTTATATTAGGTAACTTACTTAGTTGTATCCTAGTCATCGGGTATTATTTGAAAAAATTGGGTATTTTAAATAGAAAACTAATGGAAAGGGTTGTAGGTGGTTTAAAATGAATTTTATGGGTCTAAGCTCAATTTACTATATAAATAAATATCCACTTATATTATAAACTCATGTACAATATATACCCGGTAACCCTACTACTTATGCAGCCGTACTATTTTATTATCTCTCCCGTTTAGAAGTATTTAGGGGCATTTTTTATTTATCATTTATAGAAAATTCAAAACGAAACTAAATAGAAAAACATAACGAGTAGAGAGAAAGGAAGACAGGGGGCAGTGGGAAGTTGGCAACCCGGCAGGGACGTATTTTTCCATGCGATGATATTCAGGCCAACAAGCGAATAAAAAGGTATGGGAGTTTAATCCACTCAGATTCAATTCATCACTCTCTCTCTCTCTCTCTCTCTCTCTGCAAAAGAAAAATAAGAAATGGCGAATCCAAAAGCTGAACGCAGAGTGTTGTTACTATGCGGAGACTACATGGAAGACTACGAAGCGATGGTCCCATTTCAAGCATTTCAGGCTTATGGAGTCTCTGTTGATGCCGTTTGTCCTGGCAAGAAATCTGGTGAGATCTGCCCCACCGCCATTCATCAATATTCTCCTGCTCACCAGGTGAACCTCTGCCTTTGCTAATAATTAAATTGATACATTAATTCAAAAGTTTGCTTTAGACATTGTGCATATTTTGACCATTGTCAATCAGTGTGTGTGGTTGTATGGAGTATTTTAAAGTGCCAAAGAATTATCAAAGTTATGGGATTTGTAAACTTGACTTATCAAAGTTGATGGAATTTAATTTTGAGATTTCTAGTCTCTTCATTGTTTTCTTTCTTTTGGTAATCAAATATTGAATGTAAGGCAATCAATCTGGATTCTAGAAAGCCAATTGCTGCTATTTGCCATGGGCAGTTGGTCTTAGCAGCTGCTGGAGCTGTTAAAGGTCGAAAGTGTACTGCGTTCCCAACTCTGGGACCTGTACTTGCTGCTGCAGGCGCTTACTGGGTAGAACCTAAGACCATGTCGGGTTGTGCTGTTGATGATAATCTAGTTACTGGGGCTACGTTTGAAGGTCATCCTGAGTTCATTGGGCTTTTTGTGAACGCACTGGGGGGTAACATAACTGGCTCAGATAAGAGGATCCTGTTTCTCTGTGGAGTAAGTTATATTTAAGTGTTTCTCTTTGTCTATCTACATGCATGAATGGGCATAAAAATAAACTTAAAAGAACTGATGTTGACATATACTGTTGAAAGAGAGAGGGAGGAAAGCCTCAGTATGCTTTACCAGATTTGCCACAAATTGTGATGTGGTATTATTATTCATTCCTATTTATGTATGCAATGTGTTGGCGGTATGCTTCATTGGTTTGCTTATTTGAGTTGTGTTTCACATTGGAATACTTGATTTTCAGGTCATTTGTGTGAAATGTGAAGGTAAATCCAAACATGCATACTGCCCATTTTCAGGTCATTTGTGTGAATTCTGGATTTAGAACGATACATAGACAAGTATCTCCCTTATGAATTTTAAAGGACCACTTTACATTTAGTATCATGATTCCAAGGGAAGCAGACTACTCAAGAATTTCAAATCTAAAGTTTTATGTTGAAATTGAATAAAGAACGATTGCCTATATTACCATTTATTAGGTCTCCGAAGTCCAAACGCAGCCCCAAATCCATAACTTAGTTTCTTTCAGATTTCATGCAACCTATTTTCTTGAACCAGCCCTTTTCCCCCCTTTAAAATCTAATCCTTTGAATCCTACTGAAACTTGTCTCTCTACCATGCCAAAAGTTAAAGCCCACCATATATGCAGTTGTAGGCTGATTATTTAAGCTGTCCTACATCAAAATATTCTTTTACTTGTTATTCTGGATCAAACTTGTACTTGTTCAACAGTGATAAGATTGTTAATAATCAAGATTGGCTGCTTGTTTTAATTTAGTGTGATTCAAGTGACCCCTTAAAGGGGTTTGGCGTTTTTGTTAATGAACTAATTCTTATACAGTTACTGAGCATCATTCAATTTCTCTCCCTCAATATTTGTAGGATTTCATGGAAGATTATGAGATAACTGTGCCTTTTCAATCCCTTCAAGCTCTAGGATGCCATGTTGATGGAGTTTGCCCCAAGAAAAAAGCTGGTGATATTTGCACAACTGCTGTCCATGATTTTGAAGGTGATCAAACCTACAGTGAGAAGCCAGGCCACAATTTCACTTTAACAGCTGATTTTGATACTATTGATGTCTCAAGTTACGATGCTCTTGTAATCCCTGAAGGTCGAGCTCCAGAATATTTGGCATTGGATGAGAAAGTTATTAAAATAGTGAAGCAAATCGTGGAAGCTGGGAAACCAGTTGCATCCATCTGCCATGGGCAACAGATTTTAGCTGCTGCTGGTGTTCTGCAGGTAAGGTTATCGACATAATCATTTAAGAGCAGTTCCCCAATTAGTACTTTTTTTTTCGGCCAGACTACACAATGTTTCCTGAAACTTGATGCAAAGTCCTTATCCTTTTAAGTTTATCAATCAAGTCGAATTTTGAAGTTTACTAATTCAATTCTGTGCTTTTGTCAACCACAATAATGATTTTGTTACGAATTTTACTGATTTTCTATCTGTTACCACCAAGACTAGGCTAAGATAAGGAATCACTTAGCAAGGTCAGGGTAAGCTAGGCAGTTTCAGTGTCTTATAATGTGTTAGGTGGAGTGTGGTGCATTGTCAGACTTGTTAGTGGGACAGTACCTATTTTCTATGTACATAAAGTGATATCAGAGTGAAGATTTTATTGCAAAGTCCAAAAGCAACCACCTTGAAGTTCTGCTCTGTTTGTTTCTGATTCTTCTGATTGAAGGTGAATTTACTTATTTGCACATTATGAAGTTTTTAGCATGTCCTAATTGTTATCCACTGCCTACATTTATAGGGAAAGAAATGCACTGCATACCCAGCAGTGAAGCTTAATGTGGTTTTGTCGGGAGCAACATGGCTGGAACCTGATCCAATAGATCGTTGCTTCACTGATGGAAATTTGGTTACTGGAGCAGCGTGGCCGGGCCACCCGGAGTTCATTTCGCAACTGATGGCATTGCTTGATGTTCGAGTATCATTCTAGTTTGCTGTTTACCTAGTCAGCCGCTTGCATGTGATATACTTAATTCATGAAAGATTAAGACAAGGATGATATGCTGCCTTTTGTATCAATGAGGGACCAAGTAATAATCTGTTTTTGATCTGAGATTGCATGCTATTCCTAATATAGGGAATGAATATCGTGACTATTGGGATAACATATTCATATGCCTATTACTTGTGCTTTATATTGAAATTTGATTTATCACTCACCGAAGTGTCCTTTTCGTTTGTTGCTGCATCTAGAGTGTATTTTTCACATGATATTAGATTTTCATTTCTGTGAATTAACAATTTATTTATTAAAAAAAACATAGCAGTGAAGGGAAAAATAGAAGCAAGAGGGCCTATTCATCACATCACTCCTTATCGTCTCTTCAGAGTTTAAGGCTTAACAACGCTATCTGATGTTCTGGTGACCATTTATATGTATATAAAAAGTCCAGAAATTGGTCTGTCCAGCACAAGTAATGGTCCAAGTCTCAAGTGGTATATCACATTCTAGGTTTATCCTGTGTTTTTTTTTGACAGGACCCTTGCATTGCAACTCAATCAAACTAGAGACTTACCTCTCAATGCATCGAATTTTGATCCAAATCTAATTCGAATATGAAAATCAATTATTTAACAAATTCAATCCGATAATAATTCAGTTCCATTTAAAATAACATAAATTAATTTAGAATAAATTGCCATACATGACCCCGAACTAGGATCCCAATGAAACTTAACCCCCCCGAACTAAGAAGTCAGCTAATGCAACTACCGAATTAATTAAATGGTAAATTTGGCCCTTGCTGTTAAGTTGTGTAAATTTCATCCAATCTTCTGTTAACTATAATGGTAAACTTGTAATTTCGAGTAAAATAAATAATAAATAAATCAAACAAAAAGGAAATAAATAATAATTAATAAGAAAACTAGAATAACATTTAAAGAAATAAAAAAAGAAAAAACAGCCCCATCCAGCAAGAAGCCCGAACGATCAGCGTCAATGGAGGTGTGTCTCTGAGAGGGAGCTAGATTAAAGCTTTGTCTGTAACATATAACCTTGGCTGCCTCCCCACACCCTCCAAATGAAAATTAAAATGAACCAAAATTTTCCACCCCTGTTGTTCGGCTATTCTGAACCAAAATGAACCAAGATTAAAGCTTTGTTCGGCTATATGTTTAAAATATTCTATTTATATAGTATCGCCGAGCGGCTATACTATTTAACATATTCTATTAGAGGATAGCCGCACGGATATACTCTTAGATATTCTATTTATATTGTCTCGCCGCGCGGCTATACTATTAGCATATTTTATTTATAAAGTATAACCGCTTGGCTATATGTTTAAATTATTCTATTTATATAGTATAGCCGCACGGCTATACTGTTTAACATATTCTATTTATAGAGCATAGCCGTCCGGCTAAACTGTTTAACATATTCTATTTATAGAGCATAGCCGATCTATTCTATACCTTGAGATTCTGTTTCTTTGTCCACCTGAGAGTTTAGTCCAACCAAATTCTCTCGCACCCCCTCCTCTCTCTGAAATTCCAAGAAATTAAACACAAGAAAATGGCGAAAGGTGAACGCAGGGTATTGTTGGTATTGGGGGACTACGTGGAAGACTACGAGGCGATGGTTCCATTTCAAGCACTTCAGGCATATGGAGTGTCCGTTGATGCCGTCTGTCCTGGCAAGAAAGCTGGTGATATCTGCCGCACAGCCATTCATCAACTTTCTCCTGCTCACCAGGTCACCCACCTCTGCTTCCTTTGCCTTTTCCTTTGTTTACTTTTAATGAAAAACGTTTTCTTTAGCCTCTTTACATCACTTGAGCACTGTCAATTGGTCTTTTCCGTACTCTGTAATCAAGCACACTCAATTATATTGAAGATTGAATGCTTACTTCACTTGAATTTGTAAACCCAAAACAAGAAATTTGTCTCAAAGATTGAAGTGCTTACAATTCTCACCTATGGGATTATGTTGCCTCCTCTAAAATTAGTTTGTCAAGTTTAAGAATGAACATCACGCTTTCAAGTTTAGTTTTTTCCATCAGCTAGTGGTTGGTAGCCTTAATTATAGACAAAATGAATTAAGTTTTATTGTTGATTAGAGCCACTCTAGACTGACAAATAGCAATCCGTAGGTTATAGTTCTAGGTTGTGTGGACAGCGAGACTAAAGTAAGCTCAAACAAGGACACATGTTAGGAGTTCTGTTAGAGTGCTTGCTCATTCTTATGAGCTAGCTAGAGAACCGACCTGTATTGAGCTTGAGTTCTGCTGGACAAGACAGCGTGAACAAATTCTTGGCTCCAACGTCACTGCATACACCATATTCATAAAAAAATTTTGCATTAGTGCCCTCGTCTCTAAGTGAAAATAATCTGATAATGCGCTACCTAGGTTTGCTGAATCGTGATCTGTGTTTAATTTACAAATCTTCAAATGCTATATATATGTCTTTCAGGGTTTTAATATGTTTTTTGGTTTTCTGTATTTTTTTCTTTGGTTGCAGACTTATTCTGAATCACGTGGTCACAATTTCGCACTCAATGCAACATTTGATGACATTGAATTTAACAAATATGATGGATTAATAATACCAGGAGGACGGGCACCTGAATATCTTGCTTTGGATGCGTCGGTTTTAGAATTGGTGAGAAAGTTTTCTGACTCCGGAAAGCCAATTGCTTCGATTTGCCATGGGCAACTTGTCCTAGCAGCTGCAGGCTCGGTTAAAGGTAGGAAGTGTACGGCCTTCCCAGCTGTCAGACCTGTACTTGTTGCTGCAGGTGCTTATTGGGTGGAACCCGAGACCATGTTGGCGTGTGTTGTTGATGGTAATATAATTACTGGGGCTACATATGAAGGCCATCCTGAGTTCATTAGGCTTTTTGTGAAGGCACTAGGAGGTAACATAACTGGTTCAGATAGGAGGATCCTGTTTCTCTGTGGGGTAAGTTTATTTTCCTTCGTAGTGCAATGAGAAATATGAAATTGTGATGCTGATCAATATTGAGTATATATATTATCGTGATTATCACTGTCCAGTATTTGTTTTTTAATGTGCATTGTTCATGGCAAAATATTCTGCTGAAGTTAAAATCTTTAATATTATGATTCAAATTGCAGTAACCCAGAATAAACAAAAATGAATGAATAAGGTGAAAATGGTGTATGTGCTCTTGAACCTGTCTTCATGAAGCGTATACATTTGACACACAATACATGCCATATTTCAAAAACTTCTTCGTATAATATATACATGCATGAATGGGCATAAAGATAAACTGTAGAGAATTGATGGAGATTTGCCCTTTTACAGATACTTCTGAAAGATAGTGAAAATAACCTGAATAGGCTTTACCAGATTTGCCACATTTCTGGTGTGATAGGGTTCATTCATTCGTTCCTATGTGTTTTTTCAATGTTTTGGCGGTATGTTTCATTGGTCTGCCTACCTGGGTCTGTTGCCCATTGGAATACTTGTTTGTCAGGTCATTTTGTAAGTTGTGAACTTGTGAAAGTAAATCCAAACATGCATACTGGTCATTTTTCAAGTTGTTTGAATTATGGATTCTAAACAAGATACATAGACAACTACATCCTTTATGAATTTTAAAAGACTCCTTTACTTTAATTTTCTGGAAAGTTGACTACTGAAGAATTTCAATTCCCCCCTTCCCCCAAAACTGAATACCTCCAATACCCAAGCCAATTAGGTCTCCAAATTCGAAATGCTACTACTGCCCTGGACCCATAAATTAGTTGCTGTCAGATTTCATAAGAACCTATTTTCTTGAAACCAGTTGCTTGTTTTCTCTTTAAAACCAAATCCTTTGAAGCATACCTAAACTTCTCTACCTACAATGCCAAAAGTTATACAACTTGACAAACCTTAAAGCCCACCACGTTTTGTAAGCTGGTTATTTAACAGTGATAAGATGGTCCATAAATCAAGATTCGCTACTTGACAAACCTTTTAAGCCCACCAAATTCAAAATATTATTTTACTTGTCAATATCAATAGTGATAAGATGGTCCATAAATCAAGTTTGGCTACGTGTTTTAATTCACTGTAAATCTCGTAAACCCCTTGACTAGAATATTAAAGCTGCATGTCGTTTGTTTATGAACTAATTGTTATCTATGTATTATTCTAGTCAATGATCAAAATTTTATATTTCTCACAGTTACTAAGCATCATTCACTTTCTCTCCCTCAACACTTGTAGGACTTCATGGAAGATTATGAGGTAATTGTGCCTTTTCAGTCTCTTCAAGCTCTAGGATGCCATGTTGATGCAGTTTGCCCCAAGAAGAAAGCTGGTGAAATCTGTGCAACTGCTGTCCATGATTTTGAAGGTGATCAAACCTACAGTGAGAAGCCGGGCCATAATTTCACTTTAACAGCTGACTTTGAAGCTCTAGATGTCTCAAGTTATGATGCTCTTGTAATCCCTGGAGGTCGAGCTCCAGAATATTTGGCATTGGATGAGAAAGTTATTGCATTAGTGAAGCAAATTGTGGAAGCCAGGAAACCAATTGCATCCATCTGCCACGGGCAGCAGATTTTAGCTGCTGCTGGTGTTCTACAGGTAAGGTTACTCCCTTTCAGCCAGGCTACTCCTTTGTTTCCAGAAATTTGATCCGAATTTCAATTTGGTCCATATTCTTTAAGTTTCTCAATCAAATCCGACTATTTCCATATTGTTTCAATTCGGTGTGTCGTCAAACATAGTATTGATATTGTTAAAAATATTACTGACTTTCTATAATTCCATGTGATGCCACCAAAGGAATTGCTCCAATAATTGGGTTCAACTGAAACAAAGTGAAGCTGTAATCCCTGTTTGGGTGGCAGTGTAGTTTTATTGTATATATAGCTCATCTTTTAATAGGGATGGGTCCCATGTTGTGGGGATCAGTCCCATGCTGTCCAGAAGTTCAATCTAAAGTCCAAGTTGATTTCTGAAACTAAATGAGTTGAAATGTACAAAATGCAGAAACAATAATATAAAGTTAATTTGTTAGGCACACAAACAACGACGCAAAATCCTCATCAACAATCCAAAATCATATAACAAAATCGAGATTATAAATTTTGGAATTTTAAAGTCCAAGCATGATATGGTAGATATGGGAGATGCTACAATGAGAGGGATCTGCGTGGGGGTTTTGAGTGAGGGGTTCAATCTAACCATCCAATCATTAAAAAGTTTTAAGTTCAAACTTTCCTTTATATTATTGGATAGTGGTATTGAACCCCTCACCCACAACCCCTCATTATAGCATTTCCGTGGTAGATATACATATATAATGTAGAACATAAAATTTTAACTTCTTACGCTTTTTAACATCAACTAAAATGCTAGAGTAAAATTAATTTTTTGTGTGGAAAGTTAAACATGTTTAACCAAAAAGCCAATACAGATAATCTGTGGATTTATTTGTTCTTTTACTCACTATCTATGTAGTTGATCGTAAATTTAGATGTTTGTTCTGTTGTGGGTGTTGATGAACAAGCTTACCAGTTGGTGCATGAACATTTGTGCTGTAATATAAAAGTCAGAAGGTGTTTACTGTAATGCAGAATTCTCTGAAGGAATATATGAAGCAGTAAAAATCTATGCTAGATGGAATGGTTTAAGAATGGGATAAAACAAGAAATTACCTAGTAAGGAGAACCAAAAGGCTTGGCTGAGCTAGGCAGTTTCAGTTTTTCAGAAGGTTTTAGGAAGAGTTGGGAGTATCATCAATTTTGTAAGAGGGTTGATTTACTGAGTGAGTATTTTATGACAAGGTAAAAAAGAAACCACCTTGAAGTTGTAATCTGTTTGCCTTGTGCTGATTCTTCCGATTGAGGGTTGATTTACTTATTTTCACATTATGAACTTTTTTTAATCATGTCCTAATTGTTGTTAACTGGCTAAATTTTAGGGAAAGAAATGTACTGCGTATCCAGCGGTGAAGCTTAATGTGGTTTTGTCAGGAGCAACATGGCTGGAACCTGATCCAATAGATCGTTGCTTCACGGATGGAAATTTGGTTACTGGAGCAGCGTGGCCGGGCCACCCAGAGTTCATTTCTCAGTTGATGACATTGCTTGATATTCGAGTATCATTCTAGTTGCTGTTTACCGGGTCTGCTGCTTGCATGTACCATATGTAATTCATGAAAGAATAAGGCATGTATGTTGTGTTATGTTAAGGTGACGTTTGTATATACGAGGGAATAAGTGACACTGGTTTTGATATGTATATGCCATGTTCCCTGCAAGTTTGGTTGTGGATGAAGCTTGTATTATACTACTTATGCTTTCGCAGGACACACTGATTTTTGGTCTCAATCTCTCTCACCGTACACCTCGAAGGTTTACCTGAATGAATATCATGTTGTCCAGAGTTAGCTTGTATTTTCACAACCATCCTCCTGCAACTGCGAAATGAGGATTGGCATGATATTGCATTTTCTTTTGGGGCAAGCAATATAGTTTGTTGACAAAACCAGACCTCATAACAGAAAGCAAGCAGCTTTGCTGCTCTGGTGAAAAATCTGGCTGTCAAGATAAAATCAACGCGAGCGCTACTCAAAACGAAATCAACCGTCTTTTTGGGAGAAGCAAGATATCAAACAATATGAATTTATGACCTGTTAGAGATAAACATTACATTATCCATCTCTCTTTCGGGACATTAGCTTGGAAGCATTGACTTTGCACTCAGGTTTGAATCTTTCCTCAAATAATTTGGACTTATCACTTGTCGGTGTCGGTGAATCTTTCCTCAAATAATTTATACCTATCACTTCCTCAAATAATCAAACTTGGATATTGTTGGTGATGGCGCGAAACCTCCAGAAACGAAGAGAGGAATAGAGAGATGCTATAATAATTGAGTGCGACGTGTTGCTCAAATTGAGTGCGACGTGTCTAGCTGACTCTCCAGAAACATCCAGAAACGCTTTCGTGAGTATTACTATATTACTATTAAGCAAGCAAAGCAGAGCAGCTCAAGTCATCACCTACCTTGTATTCAGAATCTCAGACTCTCAAACTCTCAAACTCTCTCTCTCTCTCTCTCTCTGAAAAACTCTCTCTCTGAAAAAGAAGAAAGAAGAAAGAAAAAGCAAGAAACTAAAGAAGGAAATAAGAAAAGAAATGGGGAATCCGAAAGCCGAGGAGCGGAGGAGGAGGGTGTTGTTACTGTGCGGGGACTACATGGAAGATTACGAGGCAATGGTCCCATTTCAAGCACTGCAGGCATTTGGAGTCTCTGTTGATGCAGTTTCACCTGGCAAGAAAGCTGGTGATATCTGCGCCACTGCCATAACCATTCAAGTAGAGTCCATTGATCAGGTCACACTCTGTCTTTCCTGTTAATTAATTAATTTTGAACCTCCTCTGATCAGGACAAAGAAAGAAGCTTGAATTCACCTAACCCTTACTCTTGTTTTGATGTATGTGTTGTGTTTGGTTTTCTGTACCTTTTTGGTTACAGGCTAATAGCGAATCTCGTGGTCACAATTTCACACTGAATGCAACATTTGATGAGATTGAATTTGACGAATATGATGGTCTAGTTATACCAGGAGGACGATCTCCTGAACATCTTGCTATGAATGCATCGGTTGTAGAATTGGTGAGAAAATTTTCCGACTCCAGAAAGCCAATTGCTGCTATTTGCCATGGGCAGTTGGTCTTAGCAGCTGCAGGCGCTGTTAAAGGTCGCAAGTGCACAGCGGTTTCAACTATGAAACCTGGATTGGTTGCTGCTGGTGCTCACTGGGTAGAACCCGATACATTGTCAGTGTGTGTTACTGATGATAATTTAATTACTGGGGTCACATATTATGGCAATCCTGAGTTCATTGGGCTTTTTCTCAAGGCACTGGGAGGCAACATATGTGCTTCAGAGAGAAGGGTCCTCATCATCATTGGAGTAAGCTTTCTTTTCTTTTTCTTTTATATTGCAATGACAAATATGGGACAAAATATAGCCAATGATTAAACTGTTAGTTACTAATCATCATCATTTAATTGCTCCCCTCCCCAATATTTGTAGAACTACGCGGAAGATTATGAGGTAACTGTGCCTTATCAGACCCTCAAAGTTCTAGGATGCCATGTTGATGTGGTTTGCCCCAAGAAGAAAGCCGGTGATACCTGCCCAACTGCTATCCGAGATCTTGAAGGGGGCCAAACCTACAGTGAGATCCGGGGACATAATTTTGTTTTAACAGCTGACTTTGAATCCATAGATGCCTCAAGTTATGACGCTCTTGTACTCCCTGGGGGTAAAGCTCCAGAGTTTTTGGCACTAAAAGAGGATGTTATTGTACTAGTGAAACAATTTATGGAAGCCAGGAAACCAGTTGCATCCATCTGCCATGGCCTGGAAATTTTAGTTGCTGCTGGTGTTCTGCAGGTATGGTTCTTAGATAGAAAACATATTTCCTACCTGCATTTAGTGGTTAAACGTTTGTCACTAATATTTTTTCTGTTTCTTTTGATTAGTGGTTAATGTACTTATTTTCTGATTAGGCACTTCTTAGCATGTCATAATTGGTTCAATTGGCTATATTTCAGGGGAAGAAATGTACTGGATACCCAGGGATTAAGGCTCGTGTGGTTTCGTCAGGGGGGACGTTTGTGGAAGCGGATCCAATAGATCGTTGTGTCACTGATGGAAATCTTGTTACCGCAGCAGCGTGGCATGGCCAACCAGAGCTTATTTCCCAGTTGATGACATTGCTTGATATTCAAGTATCATTCTAGGCACCCTTTACCGGGTCAGCTGCTTCCAAGTAATATATGGAATTCCATAAACGAATAAGAGAATAAAGGAAAAGAACCATAGCCAGAAACTCCGTATAATTCAATAAAAGAATAAGAGTATATGTTAAGGTGATGTGTGTATCTGTGTGTGTATGTACCAATTGTGGATTGATCTTGTATGTTTGTGACTACGTAATGTTGATTATGATTTTTATGGAAATCCTTGAATCTGCTTTCAGATCTGGCGTTTACATTCCTAGTTTAATGACTAAAATCTATCCTTATTTCGAAAAAGAAAGGCTCCGGAGGATCCAAATGATCCCACCATAATAAGATGCCTTCACTGTTGAAAATTGGCCCAAATTGTATTGTTAATCGTGTAAGGGCCACTTTATCATTGTTTGTTTGCTAGCTTCGTTTGTCATGCCGGAGGCATTTCAAATGGGGAAATGACGGCACATGCCATCTTTGTTAAAAGGCTGGAGACAGAGATGGAGTGGGTTCCAGCACTTGAGTGATCTACACACCTAAAGCAATTGGAATCCAACTTGGTGGGCATGTGTGTCTAACTTTGTGAAAAAGCTTTGATAGCAATCTTCTCTCCAACTTTCTATTTTCTTTATGATATGTGTCACTTTTCTAAAACTTAAAACAATACAATTAATGTGTCAAACAAGTTAATATTTGTTTTTCAAATCTGGACTTATTAAATGTATTGATTTTAATATTTCCTTACATTTATTATTCAAATTTTTTACAATCTTCTTACCACCTTATTCAAAAATTAATTAAGAGCATCTCCAAGAGAGATGTCAAATATCAAACATCAAATTTAAATTTGATGGCTAATGTGGCAATTTGACATTTACATAGTTTTTTACTCTACTCGATATGTCAAATAAATAATTATTGTAACAGTCAAATCATTTAAGATAAAGAAGAAAAAAAAATAAAAAAGGAAAATAATAAATGAAAGTTACAACCAGCTATCTTTAAAAAATATTAAAATATTTATTTGACATCTTGCTTTTGGGATGTCAAAAATAACAGCTGAACCTCTAGCCTTCATTCCACATCAGCCTTGACAATTCGGTTGGAGTGATGTGAGATGTTATTTATAATCGTTAAATGTTAATGTGACACTTTTGACATATCGGTTGGAGATGCTCTAAGAAAAGAAATCTTTGTTTTTAAGACTCCAAAGGGAATAAGGAGACATTCAAATAAGACTTAAAAAATTAAATAAGAAAAAACGTTAGTTTTTTTTTTCTTTTTTGAAAGATTCCAACAAATAAGGCTTACCTAATTAATGGTTTTGAAAAAATAAATAAATAAATAAATAATCAAACTTACCGAATTAATGGTTTGAAAATTCAATCAATGAACTTCCTTTGAATACAGATTTCTTTAGAAGGATGTCTTTTGTCCGTATAAAAAAAAAGGAACTTTTGGTGATTTTTTTTTTTGAGGTCATTCTTGTGTTTAAAAAAAAACGTTTTCCCATCTAAAAAAATAGACATGTTCTTTTTTTAAAAACTGAATTTTTTTACATTTTTTTAAATGTGGTAAGAGAGTTGTAAAAAAAAATTGGATAAATTGAAAGACAATAAATTTAATAAGGGTAAACTTGGAAAACAAAAGGCGGTTTGTTTGATGTATTAATGTCATTGTTTTCAAGTGTATGGGAAGTGACATATGTCATGAGAAAAAGAAAAAAGGTCCAAAAAAGAAGGAGAGAATGTTGCTAGCATTCCCCTTTCAATTTGTAAGTGACTGCCCTTATGAGAAAGAAAACTTTCTTTCTTTGTCCATTGGCCACATTGTTGGTCTGTGTATCTGAGAGAGAGAGAGAGAGAGAGAGAGAGGTTGAATAGGCTATGTATTAATGCTATTACTTTTGACTCTTGGGTTCTTTGAGAAGCCAACTTGGGCTATGCATAAAGAGGGACTTCGTTGGCAGCCGGAGATGTGTGTGCTGGTGTGCCCCACTGTGCTGCACCAAGGACATGAGAAAGAGGAGCGGCTGGCATCTTTTCCAATGCTGGTGGTTGTGCTTTTTCAGTGCATTAATGTTCTGCGTCTTGTGGAGGACTTTGAAGGTGCTCAGCACAACTTGCATGCTTTTTTCATGCATGCAGCTGTTGGACCAAATTCTTCGGTTATTTAAAGAAGGCTTGGTACATAGAAAGTGTGTGGGCAGCACGCCTCACCATTTGGAGGTGCCATGAGCACCATTGCTCAGATAGGCTAAAACAGAAGTGAGAGACACTTCCACATAGAGAGAAACACTAGAGAGCATCACCATGATGGTGGAGATAAACTCCTCTTTGGCTACACAAGATGTATGTAGTAGATTCATAACACTTTTTGTGTGTGGATAGAACGATAAGTAGGTAAAAACACAATACCGGTATAAATATTGTAGAAGAGTAATGATAATATAGATCTCCATCAGGGGTTATGCCTGTGGGAAAGTACTTTAACTTACAATGTTCCAGCAGATCTTGTACTAAGATGAGTCTGATCATCTGGTAGAAGCCTTGCCAGCCCAAAATTTTGGGCTGGAAACTATCATCCAAAAGAATATTGCCGGTTTTTATATCTCTATGTATGATGCATACATGAAACTCCTCATGTAAATAGGCAAGACCCCTAGCTGTACCCAGGATTATGTAATTTAGTTGTTTCCAGTTGAGAGGGCCTCTTTTTGGACCTATTTCCCATGGAAGAAGGAAAAAAAAACAGATCTTTCAATGAACAAATAAAACAATAAAATGTATACGTAAGCATGCATATAGAGGTAGCTGAGCTGAAAATCCTAAAATTATTACCAAATATGAATCTGTCGAGGCTGTTGTTTGCCATGTATTCATATATGAGAAGCAATTCTGGTCCTTTGCTACAACATCCAAGAAGACGAATGAGATTCCGGAGATGAACGTTACTTATCAGCTTCACTTCGTTTACGAAATTCGCCTTTGCCCTGTCGGATTGGAGAATTGCTAGTTTTTTAACTGCAACTACTTTTCCATTGTTTAGATGTGAAACCCCATATTTTTAAATACGTATATTAATATTTCATAAAATTAAATATTTACAATTATTAGTCTTCAAAACTATATAATTAATAATATATTTATATATATAAATATAAATTGTATGGCAAGTTCGTGAAGTTAGCTATTAACTAGTATAGCCTATCAAATGTTATTGCATGGCTTTAATTATTTCAATTCATTTCAGCATTATTTATTATTATTATTATTATATATAGATATATATATATACTTACTTTACAAAAACTGTTAGAAAGACATTTATGCTTACTAAGCATTGTTGAAGACTGACGTGTTGCAACGTAGTGTCCTCAAAACCAATTAAAGCATGAGGTGTAAGAATGATAGTTATTCCTATATATATAAACTTGATAGGAGAGTGCTCACTAAGCACTCTACAAAGCCAACACAAAAGGCTATTTGAGAGTTTAGGAACCTATAGACTAATTAGGTGGCACAACATTAAGCTTCATCTAACCGACTCTAGCTTACTATAAATAGGTCTACTCAATAGTTCTTTGATCATAGGTACTTCAAGTGTGTTAGTCTCCTAAAAATCATAGACAGAAGAAAGAAAGAGTGAAGTGTGGTGAGAGTTTGGAAAAAGCTCAACAGGGAAGTGTACAATAGCTTTGGATTTGAGGTAGGGGTATTTTCTTGGGGAAGTTTTGTTTTGCATACATTGAGTTAATTAAATATTGTAAATACTACATTATGCTTGATAATATTTGATTGTTTTTATGCTTGGTTATATTGTTTGATTGTTATCCTTGATATTAGATGTATACATGTTGTCAATTATCATTATAATGTGATGAATTTTGACATATTCATATGTTGTCGGTGGTGGTTGGAATTTTTGGGTTGATAAAGAAATTATGGAAAAAAGGATAATGGGAAGTATCTTTTGTGTAGTTGAATCTAACCATTGTAGGGACCAAGTTCAGGCGAGGCCGTGTGCACAGTAGATTAGGAAATCGGCGGTATAATTGTCAATTGGGTGATTTGGGCTTGGAGATCAATGGTGTAGACAAGATGACTAGCAAAAGGGGAATTATGAGATGATTGAAATGGGTGTTAGTTTATATAATGGGGCATTCGGAATCACAGTGGTAAAATGCATGGTATGGGACATGCAGATTTGCTTGTCCTATTATATAGATTAACGGGTTTGGTAGAATTGAAGTTCATTCATGCATTGTATAAATTGTACATTATAAATCTCACTAATCACATAAGACATAGGACCCCTACTGAGCATGTAATGCTCACCTCTTATTGAATCTATTGCAGGCTTTGAAACTGAAGTGTAGTTTTTGCTGAGGACAAGAAGAACGGATTATGGATAGTTTTGAGTGTTTTGTTGAAAGTTTGTTACTTTCTTGTTATTTTGCTTGTAATAATACAATGTAAATTACTTTGACTTAAATGGAAGTTGTTGAGGCCCAAAAAATCCACGCTTT